TATATATATATATACATATATATATACACATATATATATATACATATATATATACACACATATATATATATATACATATATATATACACATATATATATACACATGTATACATATATATATATTTAAAAAAACATCTTAAGTCTGTGGTTTTCAAAAATAGAATATATGCGCTCATCTAATGAATGAAATTCATGTTTGAGTCCCCTAATTGGGCAATGCTTTTATGCATAAAGTCACCAGTCATCACTGAGCAGTTGAGATGCAAGACGCGCGTGTGTGTGTGTGTGACTACGCACTCCAAAGTATACGTTCAAAGTGAGATAAATCTCAGCACCAACCCAAGAAACTCATTATCTGTGACATTGCCATTCTCCTGAGTTATTATTTTTTTTATAAATGCATTAGTTTTATATCAATCATGCAATGCAAGGCTAGTGTTATTCTTTATTTTTCTTATCATCAACACGCCCCATTAAATGACTTCCACCAACGATATGTTCTTCCCTCAGCCAAGAGGTAACTCTTTAAACACCTAAACAAATAGGATTTCATTCAAAAAAAGGCGAAATAATTCTTTAAAACAGCAGGGTGTTGTATTGTATTGATTTTAGCAAACATTACTCATACAGTTGTGCATTTCTTGGGGACTCTGTTAATTACTATATATGTTGTGCTAGTGAGTATTTACTGCAGCATAATGTAGGTGAGATTGACTGTGTGTCTGTGCTAACGGTCATTAAGCGTTTGTAATTGTTTACAATTAAAGGCCTATGTCACAGAGGAATAAGCTCAATCGATCTGTGGATGCACAGAGAACACTTATTGGTAGAATCAATTCATTCGTTGATTTTGGTCTTTCTATGGAACATTCAAATATAGAGTATCATCAGCCTTCACACTCCTTTATCACTCCTTTATCATGTGCGATTAGAAAACTAAGTATACTTGTGAGCAGTGTATTTTTCTTCCTCAAGATAATGTTGTCTTGAATCATGTCAGTGCTCAGCAGATGACCTTGTTTATTGGTCTCTGCACCATCGCTTTCCTGGCTGCTGTGACGTCTGGTGGCCAAACGACAGTGTGTGGGTGGGTGTGTGTGTGTTGGGCCAAAGACTGGGCCAGGATGCTCCTGTGGTGCACCAAAGCTGTTGCCCCCAGCCGGAGGCCCTGTGCTCCTGGCATGCTCACTCACACTCACACACACACACACTTCTCCTCTCCTTGTCCTGGTATAGAGTCTGGATACTGAGGGAGAGGAAGGTGAAGATTTGGCAAGAAGACGGACCAGATTTAGATATATTTAGAAAGAGGACTGGCATCAGTGCAACACCAATGTCTAAGCAGCTGCTCTGTGGTTTTTAATGAAGGCTGCTGCTGACAAGCTGACGTGGATTCAGTTGCTGTGAGGAATTTAATTTCCACTTTAAGGGCTCCATATTTTCATATTTCAAAAGTTTTCAATTTGCAAATTGGACCTTGTGAAGAGGATATTGAGATTTGATGATCACATCAAGACAACATTCAATTTGTAAGATTGTATCAAGTGGAATCAGCTGATTCCAAAAAGTTCAAAAGTAACACAGAATCTAAAATCGAATTCATCAGTTTTCTAAAAATGTGTCATCCTCAGCTTCCGCCGGTCCTTAGCAGTGCAGGTAACTAAATTGGTCCATAAAACGCACCGCGAGAGCAGCAGTTATCTTCCCCATTTACATTTTCACGCACACAGGCCTTTGTCATTTATCAAAGAACGCAGCTGCTCATCTTTTGTACTGATGATTCAACATCTCACATCATCTGTGCTGCAAATGATCCAGACCTGTATTCCTGGGAACCAGAGACACCCAGGATGTGATAACTCTTCCCACTTTGTTGTTTGTTTACGTATTATCTATGGCAACGGCAGCTCATGTACATGCTGAAAATTACCCTTGAATCCATGAATAACTTAAAGTATGTGAGTGTAGCCATGTTTCATGTGTTATATTCTGTTAAGCACATGTCAAATATGAAAAATGTTATGCGGTACGTTATATGCCATAAATGTAGGGACCAGTAATTGCTTTCTTTATTCGGTAAGCGATTGTAAGCATAACACCATGTTGAAAGGGATGGGATATAATACAAATAATTACATCCATAAATAAATATATGATAAAAATAAATGTTAGCACTTAATATGTACTCCTTGGAATAAGAAGGGAGCACATATATTTTTGCTTTCCCTTTTTGAGCGTCTTCCAGAGAGATTCTCAGTGAAACAAGTTGGGATAACCTTTATGCTTGGCGTATTAGCGCCCATGGAGTAACTAGGCCTTTGGGGGGGTGGGAGATAATTTTAGCTTGTTACCAGCAAAATAGGTTACAACCTTCAGCGGCTCTGCTTCTGTGAGAGACACAAAGTAGGGCACGAGCCCCGTAATGCACGATAACGACAGTGTGTTTTCGGGATCACAGGGAGGTTTACTGCGAAACAGACTGCAGTGTGTTACTATAATACAAACCTGGCCCGCCACTTGAACCATCATAGGAACCTCCAGGACTCCCGTGTCGCTGTCAAACAGCTTCTTGGCGTCTTTGGATAAGGAGCTTCTGTGAGAGAGCAGAACAGGCCGGTACACTGTGAGAACACACGCTATATTATGCAAAGTTACAAGTAAAAAACATTTGATGTTTTGCATCTTGCTCAGGAACAGAAAAGAGCAGAGGCAGCAATTAGGAGGTTTTGCGACAAACGCACGATCGCATCAGTGATTTTAATAATTGCGATTTTTCTTTTTTCCTTTCTCAATACATCAGTCAAAAGCCACGAGCCACTGTCGAGCTCTTCAAAGACAGAGTGAGATTCAGACCCTGAAGAACCATTGCTTCACTTTAACCCACGGCTGTAGGATCGGCTCGCCAGGGAAAGCAGAGGAAGAGATGCAGAGCGCGCCTCCACACTACTGTAGGTTGTAGCCATGGTGATGGGAGACGTAAGTGTGATTCAAAGAGGCCCGGTAGTCATGCACAGGCTTATGTAAAAACTCCAGGTCCTTCAATATAGCACAAACACCGCATGTATAGTTAATTATCATGTAAACAGTGGTCAAATGTCTCAGATCCGCCCCCGCCTCCTCCCTTTCTCTCTCTCTCTCTCTCCTTCTCCCAACACCTTTCTCTTGTTCCCCTGCTATCCCGTTGCTCTTCCTTCCCCCGTTTCCCTCCTACAGGATCAACTGTCTTCTCTCTTTCCTCCTCGACGCTCCTAATGCTGGTTGAAGGCTTGAGAGCTAATGCTGTAAATGTCAGCGGTTTTTAAGGCTCTCCAGACTTCTTCCAAAGCACGCGCTGTTCTACTCAAACACCCTTCATGACTCAAAAGCTAGAACTCAAGTCAACATTAAATCTCCTCATTTGCTATGAGGACTAACAAAACAAAAAATATTATATATATTCCCACCCCCCGCAGCTTCAGCTTGACCAATGAACACCAATGAAGACGTCGCTGCTGGAGAGTCACTCTTGATTGAGCTTGGCAGGGCAGAGTGGTAAAGCGTGGTGGGACATCGCCAGGACCATATGCTCGGGATGAATTTTGCGGATGGATGGGGTTTCAGATTTGTCGGTGTCCTGCACAGATTTACTTGGGTGCTTTTGTTCTCTGGAGCCAGATTATCCGCACAGCCTCGACCAAAAGCAATTCTCCTCCATCAAACTAAAATGAAAAGAGCCTCTGTCAATCTGTCTGTCTGTCCTTTATGTCTCTCGACAACTGACAATCTGATTGACTTGAAACTTGCAGGATGTATTACTGAGGGCCCGAGGAAGTGCACTGTTGAGTGTGAAGTTGTTTCTATGAGCGGTTCTGGAGAAAGTTGCAAGCAACACCAGGGGCCAAGCAATCGGCCAAAGGGACACTGCACTCGTAGACTTTAATGACACTTCTGAGATTAGTAGAGGACAGAGTACAATTTGCTCTCTGTGTCTCGAATGCACACCGAGATATCTATTTTATCTCGTTGTGCATTCCTTAAAAACCTGGAAAGTCAAAGAAAAGATACGAGACGAAAGGACGAGGGCAAGGATAAAAAAAAAAACTCAGACATATTTCAGACATCAGGAAACTTTAAGAGCGTTTGATTTTAGGAAAGTGGCTGCTGTAGTAATTCCTTTTACCCGATGGGGTCAAATTCAATATATAAGTACATATTCCTTTTCGGTATGGACTGCTGCTTGGATTTCATCACCATTAAAAAGTGATGATGAAAAGGCTTACAAAACAGACTAAGAGGCTTAGGGATTTTCCACTATATGGGGAAATGTATTGGCAAAAAACACAATAAATTACTGTGAAAAAATGTTTTTAAAATCATGGTAATCAGAAAAAAAATGTTTGCGACTCATAGCATTATTAAAGTTCCCGTTACTGTGAGTAGTGAACTCTCAATTGAAAGTACTGGTCGAGCTGTCTGGTGTAATCTGTAGTAAATCATCCTTGTAATCTCCCTTTTATCAGCCTGAACTGCCGGGGGGGGGGGGGGGGGGGGGCACATTGCCTCGCTCTTCAGGGATTACACCTAAAACCGTTCATTCAAGCAATCCTATCCAAATAATCATGTCATCAGGTTAAAATGATTCGTCTGGTCTTGTGTGCCAGATTGAAACTGTCTACATGCCGACTGTTTCACTTGACCCAAGAAGCTGATCTATTGTTCCTCGAAAGTAAAGTACGTCTTTCTCTATTGTCTCAGAAGTTAATATATTCTAAAGCCAAACGTCCTAGCCAAAGTAAGTCAGGTTAAAGGGAATGGTTTAAATGTGGTGATGTGAAACACCTTCCATTTGTTCAGCGATTTCAATAAGTCTGTTTTGACGTCTGTTTCCCCCGATTGGAGAAATCAGCTGACCAATCAGAGCTCTGTTGGCGGGATCAGGGACAGGCACGTAACCTTTCTCCATAGCTAGCTACCGAACAGCCATGAAAAAGTGACGGACAAGTGCGGATGAGCACGACTCAACTGTAGAGGTTGTTGTAAGCCGACGACATTTAAAGCGCCATGTTTCTTCATGTTATCATGAAAAACACTCGAAGCGACCACCAGCACAACTTCAGTGTCGACTGAGAAGGGCAAAATAACAGAATAACCCCATTTCTAAAACAGAAACTGGCTGACACGAGCACAGTATCGGGCTAAATGTAGGCAACGGCAACTCACTTAGAATATTAGCCTGTCGGTGTCCATTTTAATTCATATAATTCCTCTTGGCTGCACAGGATCTGAAACGTGTGAACCACTGGCCTTGATGTTGTTGAGAGGGGTATTATGCAGTGAATAGAACACTGCTCTGGATATGGGAGAGAAACATGTGGGTTGCACGGTGACAAATAAAAGTGGAGGAAGACGGGCAGAGAGGGATGAAGCAAAGGGAAGATGGTGAAAGATGTGGGCAGGTTGCGCACAATCCTTCAGAGCTCGAAGCAAGAGTGTGCTCACCCTCTCCCAAAAGCCAGAGGAGGGAAGGCAAGAAGCGAAACACCTGTGTAAAGAATGAAAGCTGTGAGTCATTTTGAATCCAGATTTAACAGTGTGTGTGCGCGCATCCGTGTGTGTGTGTGTGTGTGTGTGTGTGTGGATGAAACAGTGAGTGAAGGCAGTGCTGCTAATGAGGATTTGGAAATCCAATCACAGGCTTTGGCTAGGAGGACTTGGCAGTGCCAATTTAAATGACACACTGTCACTGCATAAAACAAAAGCAAACAGAGACGAGACATGTAGGAACCAAGCTTGCTGACGTGCAGGAAACATGGCCATGGTGTGAATTCTTCCGTGCAGGTGGAGGACAGGTAGAGGATACTTAGGGCATCTTTAAGCATAATTCTGATCTTTTTATTCGTAGCTTTTGGCCACTATTTCTATTGGTTTCGACAGCACTGTGCTCACCTAGCCCCAGCATGAGTCTCTCAGTATTATCCTTACATTCGAGTCGCTGAGCAAAGCATTAGTTTTGTCTGAAAAATAATCCCTGATGATGTTTTAATAACACAGAATGGATTTAAACAACCATTCTGTTCGGAAGGTATTTACAGCATCCTCAAAGCCTGAAAGATTCCTTCACCAGCACAATAAAAAGCAACTCTTCGGCCAACTCGGTGAGTCCGACGTCATCGTAATCTATAGATCTAATCTACAAAATAAGATCAAGATAAGATAAACTTCAGAGCAAATAATGAGAGCGCGGGGAACTGGGTCTGGTGTCTCGGGTTACGTAAGCGGAATCGGGGTCAGCATATAAGCAGCGGTGGCTGGTGGATGCATAGAGGGCTGAGAGGAGTTTGAGAGTAACGGAGAGAGGCAGAATGGATGCAGAGTTAGAGGGGAAGTGGAGGAGCCCGGAGATAAGAGCGCTGTGGAGATAATTTGAGAAAGGCAAAGAGAGAGAAGTATAGTTAAGCAAGGAGGTGAGAGGCCAAGCAAACGAGAAAGTATGTGTGAGAGAGTGGGAGAAGACAGCGCAGGAGAGAGAGAGAGAGGGGGAGAGAGAGAGAGAGAGAGAGAGAGAGACGGAGAGGAAAAGTGTGATCGGGAGAGAGTAGGGAGGGGGTGGTAGCTGTAGCTGCGTTAGTGCTTGCGAACGCTGCACCATCTCAGCAGCAGTGCGAGTAATGCTGTACTCTAATCCTCGCATTAAAACCTCTGCTGATTCACTAAGGCAGATTACTGACATTTCCCCACTTTCCCCCCTGCTGAACGATGACCACTGCATGCCCCAACCTTTGTCATGTGTGAATAAAAATATCCTCCTGTTGTCATTATTATTATTGCTTTACATCAATATCCTCTCAGCCATCAATACGCAAAGCTGCTGAACTGTGAAGGGAGAAAATAACAGGAGGGTGGGCAGAAGAATACTAGCGCCCACACTGGGTTTTTACATACTGCACACGCCTCTCATATCTGCCCTGGGGGTCCCCCGTCCACTCTCCTGGCATTCACACTGCGGTTCAACTCCTGCCTCTCCGTCTAAATATAGAGCCTGTGTTGTTGTGGAAAGAATTACCGTGTCCTTCAAAGTCATTAGAAACCATTACCATCGCGCTCAGAGTGCAGGTATGTGGAAGCAACACTTATATACCCGCTGGCCATTGACTGGCTATAGATCGTTGCCATTTGTACATCTGTAGGACTCCACAGCTCGCCTCTATTAAAAAGCGTAAGCTATCAGTTGTAGTGAACTAGTGAAAGATATATCCAGCCGATAATATCCTTTTGATCAGAAATTGAATAGTTAGTTTAAAGGGTTTTCCTTTAAGGGTTCTTTGTAAGACTTTTCATCCAAAGAGCTCGTTTTGGAAGAGAGAGTTCTTCAAGGATTGTTAAAAGCGTGGGTGTTCCAGCCCACACACACTCCCAAAAAAAAGTGTGATTTTGAACCATGATTGTTGAGGAACCCTGGGGGGGTTTCTCGATGAAACCCTTTGAATACTAAAGGGCTCACGGGAGAGTTCCTGGGTGGGTTCTAATTGGTACCCTGAGGAGGTGGAAAAGTTCTGGATGGAACTTCCAAAGAGGGTTGTGGGCAAAACCATTACACCATAGAAGGTTTTTCTGTAGAACTTCTCATTGGGGGTTCTGGGTGGAACCTTTTCCAGAAGGTTCTTGGTATAACCCTTTAGGTTTGGTTCTCCCATGGGAACAAGCCAAAGAACCCTTTATGGTTCTAGTTAACACCTATATTTCAAAGAATGTGGTATAATGGTGTATTGTGTACTACTACATCTCTATCTACCGCCATCAGCACTTTAACCAGACTGTTCTGTGAATAGTATTTACAATCTAAAGCATTTTTTGCTCAACAGGAAAACTGTATGTTTCTTCTCTGCTGAAGAAGAAGAAGAGGCTGGGAAGTCACAAAACCGCAAGCCTGGCTCAAAACATATGACAAGTCTCTGAAACAGTTTGCACTTTCACAGAAGGTTGATCGAATCTTAACAAGGTTATGGTCCGAAATAAGATGATGAATGCTCCAGTGATTCCATTATCATTGCATCCTCTGTGTGTCCCTTCTTACCTCGGCAGGAACTTGAGTTGGGCGTTGAAGCTTGATTGGGCCTGGACGAAGCCCGTCTTTGGAAGGATCTCCATGTGTTTCCTCATTTCCGGGCACACCTCAAAGGTCAGCTTCAGGGCTGTGCTGGCTCTGTCATGCAAAAGATATGGTTGTATTAGCTTACTACTAAACACACCCAGTACATTCCTTTAAAAATGCACCTAATCCAGGGCGATCCGCCCTGTTAAATAATTCACAAGCAGTATATCGCTGAGGCAATAATAATGCACAGGAAATGATGCCGACACTAGCAGTCTATCAGGTGGCGCAAAAGACACGATGACAATCTCAAACGGTAAACGCGGTACAGACAATACTTTTGTTTGAGTGACACAGAAATTGCCTCGTATGGAGTGATGTACCCCAAGTCCAATTCAATCCGGTGACCCAATTTTCCAGGAGCTTCAACAGATGGTCGCGCCTGTGGCCACGAGCCTCAGTTACAGCCGAAGCTTGTGATATAAATGGCTCTTCACCTTGGGAATTCTCCAACACGTCCAACCACAGCCCACACTCATAACAGCTTCATAAAACGATGACAGTACAAACACACTGGGAAAAAAAAAAATCCCTCTGTTTGCTGGAGGTGATATGCGCATACAGCGATAACATTTTGCCATGTCTGCTTTCATCCTCAAACGATACAAAGGTGAGCGATGAGCGAGCTGTGGCCAAATAGATTGAGGGAACCCTTTCGATTCCCCTCTCAAATGGAATGACCCACTTTGAACAGCAAGGTCAACCAGATGGTTGTTTCCCCGAGGCAAGGACTCTCAGGGACACTCGGGGATATTAAGCCGCTATCTTTATTCCGGCCAAATGATAACCTTCAAATCGCTCTCGGAGGAGTATTCATGGGTACATAATCATTTAGGGAAATTAGGCATTTTAATTAACAGGGGCATTTAACTGATCCTTTTTTTTTTTGCCTGCGACCAGTTTATTACTGAAGCAATGTTTAATGATTTAAAGGTCACTTCACAGCAATTCACATAATTTGCTTCCTCAGGGTAATAATCATGACTATGTAACCATCACATTTTACTAATATTTTTGTTTCATTTGGTCGTAGACATGTTAAAAGAGACGCCGGTTTAAAAAACAATTTCTCAAAGTGTTAGATGATTAAATAAATGGATCTCAAAGAAGATTGTCTTACAGTTTATATGTTGTATTTTTAAGCCCTTAACACCCTTTTGTCTACTTTTGAACGAGGGTTGTTTTTCATGGTTTGGGGTCGGCCCTTTGGTTCCAATTAAGGGCCATTTTAGTGCCATTTTAATGCAAGGCCTCTTTCCTGTTACAACATGACAATGCCCCCAATTCACAAAGCCTTGAGCTTGACGTGATTCCCTTCCTGGGTTCGTTTGAGTTTCACTGTGACAGACTTTGGAGCATTTGCTGCATTTCATCCCCCTTTCTCTCTATTACACTGCCTCTGTAATATTCCTAAAAAAAAACTTTGTCAGAGCAACATTGATAATGACACTCATAATCATCATTGAGGTTTCTTGGCAATTGTGTCAGCACATGTTCCAGAGAAATTGCTCATGTTGAGTCTACACGCTGAGTGCCCACGGCAGCAGTAGCGCCTCTTCCCTTTTCTTAGACGGGCCAGGTGACTGTGCTTGCTTACACCACATATTGTATTGCAAAGCCTCATGGGACACCAAGCCTTCTAACCGTCCCCCACAATGCAGCACTGTCTGCTTTATACGATAGATATTTCAAAATAACCAACTGGAAGACCAAGGTTATTAATTAGCAACTACGGTTCTATTATCCCCAAAATAAAAAAGAAGAAACGGCCCCGAACAACGACGACAACAAACTCACATTCCCTCTTGCCAAAACAACACAGGACACAGGTTGGACAGCACATTATGCACGGTAGGCATTTTAGAAATACAGTGAACAGAGAGAAACCAGGACAGAAGGCTTTGTGAAGGAACAAAAGCTGGTTGAATGTGTTTTTGTGGCCAGAATTTGGGCAGGAATGCTCAACTCCCCAGCAGGAGCCAGTGGAGGAGGGTTTAAAAAGTCCAGGCTCCCTGTTTGAAATGAACTAAAAAAAAAAAAGAAAAACCCTGCCAACCGTCTGTAGAATATTCCAATCATTGGCTCACAAGCTAAAAAAAACCAAACACTGCGCATTTTAAAGTCTCTTAAAAAAATCTTTCAATTAGTAGGAGTAATATGCAAATCACTGGCTCACAGACAAGAGAGACATTCAATTATGCTTTGTGCTGGTCTCTTGAAAAATCTGTCAGAGACTAAGGAGGACTTGTGGGATATCTACTCATCTACTCAAAGGGAAAAGTGACAAATTGCATGATGAAAGCAGCGGCTCTCTTGTTGTCCCCCCCCCAAAAAAAGCCTGAAAAGCTATTTTGTGTTCAAATTACTGTCTTGGAGGCAGAGTGACATGTTGCATGGTTTGCTGTTGCAAACAACATTTTTTTTTTTTTTTACTTTAAAAGCTGCCGTTAACACTGATGCTGTCATCGTCACATGTGCTGGTGTGCCAGCGCACCAGATGGCAGTTGTCACAAATCCCTCACCCCCACACGTGTACTCCCTCCCCCCTCATGGGACACAATGACTGGCTATGTGGTGGCCGGCACGCCTGCAAATGTTACAGAGTGTGTGCATCATAATGTATCACATCCATAATCACCATGGGATTTACCGTTTGTCCTGCGTTATTGTATGGACCAAAGAGGATTGTGGGGATGTGGGCTTACTGCTTTGGCCCCTTGCATCATCTGGATGTTTACGAACATTCATCAGCCAACGCATCTCTATTTTATTATGTCCGCACATTTGTTGAATCTCTCAATACTTGGCTCCGAGCGCAGTTAGGACACTTTGATGTTGGGCCAGCTCACTTTTAAGGGATTTTCCATGAGCCGGTTTTCTGTGAAAATGTCTGTTTTGGCTGAGACGGAGTACGTGAGGGAGTTTTAGTATTGCATTCAGATAAGCCAGCGTGCTACATCAGCAGTTTGTGCCACTTTCCAAACTCTATTCCAAGGATGTTTCCAAGCATGACAACAAATAAAATGGAATTACGACAAGCACCGCACACTTCTGCAGTAATCTCATTGGGCTGAGGGGTTCAAGGCGGCCTCTTAAATATTAACAGCCTAATGTGTAGCTCATTATAATAACCTAGCAATTTGTTGTCAATATGCCTGATGAAGGTCTATGACTGAAACACTGCGTTTTCAGTAAACTTGTGAAAAGCGCTGACACTACAAACTTCACTATCCTCTTCTTCTACTTTCTACCAGATGTGGTGCATGAGACAATACCCACAATGACTTTATAATAGACTGTTTAATACGCACTCTGTGGTAATGACATATACTGACTTGGCCTTTTCTGACATGCTTTTAGTTTGCCCACGTTTAGTTTTTCACGTCTTTATCTGTGAAAATTGAGCTGTAGAGTTTTCAATATTACAACATTAGATAACACCAATTCATGGTAAAGCATTTACTCTTAAAGATACAGTGTGTTGAATTGAAGGAGATCTGTTAGCAGAAATGGAATATAATATTCATAATTATGTTTTCATCAGCATATGATCACCTGAAACTTTAAATTGTTCACTCTCTTCACTGAGTCCGCCATGTTGCACCACCATGTTTCTACAGAAGCCCAGAACGGACAAACCAAACACTGGCTCAAGCAAGAGCCTTTCACGTTTTTGCTCTACCTGAAGGCCACCATAGCTCTCGACGCGATCTGAGCGAGGCGAATGGCGATACCACTCAGCGGCTCACGTTACCTCAGTCTTTGAAAGGAAGGACTGAGCAGAGGGGCATTCAGTTGGTTGCAATATGCAACCTCGCCACTAGATGCCACTGCTTTTAAAGTATTACAACTTTAAAAGCAAAAGGTCTGTCTGTTTAAAAAAAAACAAAAAAAAAAACTTTTTGAGATTGACGACATTAAACGCCAGCATGATGTCAGAGAGGCACTAAGAAGTACTCTGACATCTCAAATCGGGGTGGACCAGAGTCACAAGGGACTCTTGCCTTTAAACTACCTCAGTATTGTTGCTGTCATATATCCAGAAAGTTGTGGATAGAAGATGTTTACAGACATTGACAATATTTTATAATAGAGTAAATACATCTTCAAAAGGTGATATCGTTTTTTACTTTTCTCACGAGATGTATTGGTTCAAGACGTTTAAGCAGAAACAAGTCTGCAGTTATTTTTGGCCTCTCTGTCCCTTCTAATGAGCTTGGATTTGTGACCGCTTTCCCCCTTTGCCAATACCATCCATTTGTTTGGCATGTGCAGTCACACATTACACATTGCTACATTACAGTTTATATTTGTGATGCTTCCACAAATAATACAGCAGCTATTAGATCTCTTTAAAATGCCTCATGATGCTCTGACAAACCATTGGTAATGATTGTCACAATGACATTGTTCACTGGCATAGAAATAAAAACAAATTCATAGTTGGGTGGTGTTGGTAGGTATCGTATGGAAACTTTGCTATGGTATTTGTTTCCCCCAATGGTTTACAATACATGGCTATGCCCCAACTGTCTGTCTACAAAGGCTAAATTGTACCTGGATGCTGACTACAATAGAGAGGTCTGAATCTGCACCTGTGGTGGAAAATGTGTCGGTCTCATTTAAGTAAATTGCCTGTAAAAGATAAAACTAGTCCTGGAAAAATGAACAATTGGTGGATACTGTGCTGTTTCCTTTGGGAAACGATCGTACGTGTGTGTGTGTGTGTGTGTGTGTGTGTGCGCGTTGTGGTTGTGGACCATCTGCTCCAATTGTACATGAAAAAACAGCCCATCCCAAACTGACAGCGACTCTTTTTCTTGTGTCCTTGCTGTCAACGTTCATGCAGGTGAACATGAACTCATCTTTAGCATGACTACAACTCATAAACACTGATTACAAAGATACAACTTTCTTTTATGGGCACCTTGCAGCGAATACGATTTCGTAATAACTTCCACAAAAGTAACTGATTTATAATTAATATGAAGAGTTGAACATAAAAATGTTTAAACAAAGATTATATTATGCAACCACTATAGAACTCCCTGGTTCACTCTTACAAATTCAAATAAACTCCCCAAGTGCACCTATTCCATTTTGTTATAATCAGTACCAAATTAGTACGCTTGTCCAAGATCCTAAAATAAAAAAAGGGATTTTGATTAATTTAAAGGAAATGATTAGGAAAGAAGGGACCTGTAAAATAAAGGGGTTACCCCCAGGTCTCATAATCTGGGACTAGTCCTTTAATAATACCAATGCCAATGCGTTTTTAATTGCAACGTGCACATCACCTTGAGAACTAATGGAATTGAAATAAGGCTTTGTACAGTTTCTTGGCACACTATGTTTGTCCTTGATCCAATGTCTCCAACAGTACCAGACGATTAGTTAATGTGACACTAATATGGTATTAAATGTCGTCTCGCGTCTCTTAATTTGATGCGTTGCCTGTTCAAACAAGGTCGTTAAACAAGACATTTGTGCGAGTGGCTCACTCTACTCTGAAGTGTAAACCAATTGGACATCAACAAGGGATAGAACACTAGTTTAGTTCAATTATAAGGGCAGAGGGACTTTTCTCTATTGAGTTACACGTATTGTTGGTGTTTAGTAAGTCATAGAAAATGAGCTAACGAGGTATGCAGATAATTGTTTTTTGCTTGTGTTTTTTGCATCCTAATTTACTTCAGATTTAAAGAATAAATAACTTGTGTTTTATTTGACAAAGGTGTTATTACTGTACTGTAAGGATTTCTTGCTTCATCAAGAAATAGAAGAAGAACACAAACAGTAGTGCAACATGTTAGGTTTGTAAGTGCTGTTTGTACAGACTTAATTAAGTGACACAATCAGTGAATTGTTGAGTGGATTCTCTAAGACGCCTCGCGCGTTACATTCTGGGTTTTGATTTCGAGCCGACCACGAACATGAATACACTTCTAAGAACCACAGTGCAGCTGTGCAACAACATTTCTGCATCAAGGTGTCTACATATATGACAAATCTGTCAGCCATCTCAGGTTCTGGGACCAACCTGCTTTGGACCATGATACTGTCTTGATAGAGGCGGTCGAACATGCAGATCTTCAGGTCAATGCACGGCTGAACCACACATACAGGGACACTGACTGCGACACCCCTCGCCTGGATGGGTATCTGTTTGTTTGCAATCACAAATGGTTTGCATGAAATGATGCTAATATGAAATTTATTGCGCTGTAAACTTTTAAAACGACTACCCTGATATGATATTGTGTCTTACTGGTTTGCAGGTTAAGTCAGAGAATTTGACGTGGAAGTCCAGTTTGGCCTCTCCTGGAATGGTTGGAGTGAAAACAACTTCCAGTTTGAGGCTTTCAAAGGGTCCAATCTCCCCTTCTCTAACCTGAGGGAGGGCACATCAAACAGGACCAGGAAACATTGGATTTTGTAAATAATAATTGGTGCATTCTAAAAGAATTCTACAAAACAAAGTAAAAAGACCAGTATATCTACAGGACATTCCCAATAAACACAAAGTCAGACCAGGGCACACTTTAGTTTAACCGTTTTTCTCCACGACACAAAACCATTTCTACCCATGTAGGGGAACTGGAAATCTCTCAGAAGTGCAACTTTAAATGGCATGCAATCAAACTACACCGAAAAGCGGTGTGGATCGTCTGCTCAGCTGCAAAAGCACCAAGGTGGTGGGAGCCTTTAAAGAGAGGAGGGAGCCATTCGTGCAGCCACTGCCTCAACACTGTGGGACCGTGATAGCTTGATGGATAATCTGCCATTTAAAACACAAGTCTTCAACCGCACGATTTGAAAGTATCAATCAAATTGACAATAACCGAGCGGAAGGCATCCAGGGAGACATGCAGCACACAAACACAGCCAGAACAAGCGCAGAGGGAGAGGCGTTGCACCATTAGCCCCCCACCAGAGAGACGTAATGAACCCTGAACAACTCCAGAACTTCACATGGGCCACAAGGCACACACAGCATCGATGCTGAAAACAAGACAGAGAGGCGAAAAAATCGTCGACAGTAATAGTCTGTCTCTTCAGAAACAGACCGAGCGTCTCTCTGCTAGTCCAGTTTGATAATGATATTGTTGTGTTAGATCTGTTAAAAGACATTCATCTAGCCAATATCTCCAAATAGGATCATTGGCATACCAACAGCTAGCAGCGTCCCTTATGTTGGGCTAGATTGGTTTGTCCCGTATTGGACCTTCCTTGTTCTGTACTGACTGCTACTCTACTCTGATCAGCAGACGACACTCTTATAGATCCTAGATCTGGTACAACAGCAGTAGCAGATCATGTGTTAATCACGTCACAGGTGAGAGATCATTCAGTCGTATATACAGTATTTACATATGTATTCCTGCAAAATGATAATGGCGATTTGGCATGTGCCAATATGGAAAAAAACGAACAAAAGAAAAGACTGTGCAGCTACAACAAATAATAGGAATCCAAACAAAAATGTTGGTTAAACCAGTCAGCAGTGACTGGTAGAAAGCCTTCAGTAATTTATGTCAACGAGAATTTTCAATTAGCCATCAAGGTGAGCATGACCTAATATGCTTCCACAGAAATATACAAAGAGGCCACACTAGCTGAAGAAGCAAGCAATATCGGTATGTTCTTTATGACATCTACAAAGTAAAACGAAGCCTCCAATATGTACCATATGATTAAACACGGACTCAGCTACAACAGCAATGAGTGTCTTGTTAAGCTCAACAGTGCTTTGTTGGGTGGATGGTCATTTTTCCAAAGCATAGGGAACACCAACTTGATCATCATGTCCAGGATTTTGTCCTCAGCGTGCCAGGCTCAAATGCCTTTTTAGAGAAGATTTTCTCTCAAATGGTCAGACTCGAGAAAAAGGAACTTTAAATATATGTGAACCCTGACTTGTCATCGAGGGACTTCTCTCTGGCCGTGAAAAAAAGGACAACAGACTGCTTGAGTCAGTCAAGAGCAGCACCGTGGCTCGCTCCCTTTTGTCTCTTATTTGGCAGTGAGAAAGTTGGCAATCCTCGTCTACAGCCATGCTGACAGCTCTATGAGACTGTACTTGCCAAAGTACCATTAGCTGAATGCTAACATCAGCATGCTAACATGCTCACAATGAGAATGCTAACATGCTAATATTTGGCAGGTATTAAGTTGACCATGATCACCTTCTTATTTTAGCATGTTAGCACGCGACCATTTGTAAATTAGCACTAAACACAAAGTACAGCTGAGGCTGTCATTAGTTTTGCAGGGATTTGGTCATTAACTAAATTCTTGGACAATAATAATGTTAGTAGATGAAAGGTCAGGGGGATCACCAAATCAATTGTGTTACTGTAACTGAGTATTTTACAATAGGACCAAATACTTACATTTCCTAGACTTATGTCACCGGAGTCTGAGTGGCTCTGGTCCATCTGGACATGCACATCGGTGGACACACAAGTCTCAGGAATAACTTCTGGACCTGTAGCTGAAGCCTCTGACACACACACACACACACACACACACACACACACACACACACACACA